AGTTAAGTTTGTCTTCTGGCTTCTACTGACAAAGAATTCATTTCCTATTGTTCAGACATTGGAAAGAGATGCTATTTCTTTCTAAAAGTAAGAGAAGTCTTTGGGGTGTTGTAAATGGCTTGTTATTGCAACGTATTATTTTAGGTAGTCATATCTAATTTAATGTTTTATTTCCCCTTAGGCTAACTTGTATCTCTTCAGCATTCAAAGGTTATGACAATGCCCTACGAGATTTTCATTGGAGATCCAGTTAACTTTGAAATGAAAAGTTGGAGCTTCGTTTTGTATTAATTAATGTCCTGGTTTCACTTTTCAATACATGGAAAAAAACTTTAAGTTCTTTACGTTTTTATTGGTCCTGAATCTGGTAAATATGAGAAGAGGCATTTCGTGTATGTGAAAAATAATGTGGCTATGCTTTCTTTCTCTCTACTTTAGTTTATTCACAAAGATAAGTACATCTGGATGTCACAGGCTGGGGTAGTGAAAGTTATTTAAACCACAGCTCTTTGACTAAGAGTTCGACGCATTGTTTTCTGCCTGGGTAAAAAGTACCATAAGTCCCCATGGACAGCGTTCCAACTTCTTCCCAATTCCTATGAAAATGCCAGCCAAGAAGGCCTCATTTAGGCTCTTTCTCCAAACCTAGGTGCCATCTAACTTGTTCACATCCTATTTTCCTTTTCCTTACCTCCACACATGGAGGTTGCCAATCTCAGAGCTCCTGAGAAAGAGCATGGCAGTATAAAATTCAGCAATTTCACAGCTCTGAGTTGTGCACTGTTGTTTGCTGAAATCTAAGGAGTGCCGCCCTAATAGAGCCATAATTTACTCTGACAAGGGGAGCTAAAGTCTGCAGCTCACTCCCCACCCTGCCTGTGGAAAGTGCTACACTGCCCGTTCAGAATTTATAGCTACATACTTATGGTTTCCCCAAAACTACATACTTCAAATGGCAAAAAGGATTGTGCTGTATGTATATGTAAGAGGAAGGGATCGTTTTTTTAAAAGAACAGATTATAGAATGGGTTGAATTTTATGAATAGCAAAAAACATAGTATCTGCCCTAAAATATTTCAGGGTATAAGATATGATTTCTAAATAAATTATTTTGTTATTGATAATATAATCATAGGATTTTCTATTATATACCAACTTTAAAAATGCAAGCATTACGTCTACTGAAATCAGAACTTTAGGACCATTTTACCAAAGACACATGGGAGAACATAAGTATTCTAACAGAAATATGAGTTAGGTTATTATAAGTCATTGTTATGGCAGCATCTGCAGAGTGGAATTAAAAAAAAAAATCAAATCCCTTGAAACTCTCATAGTTTAGGGTCATAGAATAGTACAGGAGGCTAAGAAAAACTGGCGGATTTGATTTTTTTGTGAAGTAGAAAATATCTAGCCATTTCATTTTGTTCCAAATGATAAAAACAGAAATTCCTTGAACCACTTCAGTGAGTAATTTTAAGTATTTAGTTTTAAAAATCAGTAAATAAATATGAAGGTTTTAAGATTTTAAAAATGTATTGACAATGTTTGAGTAGAAAATTAACTGTCCCCTTTTACTCTTTTATTATTCCCTTTTCCCATACACTTCCCGTAAGTTTCTGACAGATTAGATGATACAAAATATAATCATTAGGTGAACTGAAATATTTTTTGTAACTCTGATAAATGAGTAAACATGCCTAAAACACACTCCCAATGGTGTTTCTCTAAATATTACTTAGCACATAAGATTCCTTTAGCATTACAAATCTATTTCAGCTCCTAAATTAAAACTCATCTGGAAAGGACCGTTTTACCCTGTTTATATAACATTGTCACATAAAGAGTGTTAAAAAATATTTCACTAAAAATAGCTTGCGTAAGTTAGGGATTAGAGTAGTTTCTGTTGCTATAATTGTTCCTTTGTAGTTTTTTCCATGATGTTTTTGCACAGTGTTTTTGACTGTGTTTATTAAAGTCAGCACATCAAAAAGGATCAAAGAGAAAGTGAGTGAGAACCAAAGAAACCCCAAGTGTGTTGTCTCATTGAGGACTTATGCAGATTCGCATAAACAAGTGCAAATTGTTGAGGTTTTAATGAAAATTTTCTACAATTATTTTATCTTAAGTCATTCTATACAATAACATCTGTACAACAGATGGCTATACTGTACCAAAGCAATGTTCCTTTTTCTTTCTCTGTTTAATGGTACATCTGAGATGACTACTTTTGTCACTGTGCTCAATTTGGTTCAGCAAATAATTTGAAAAGTGCAGCTGCTGCAGATGGTCACAATAGTTATATAAACTGTAAAATCAAAGACACAGTTAAGTATTTCTGTATTAGATTCAAACTATAAAAATCTGACATTAACTCCACTGAACTCAAAGATATACTACAGTATAAAAAACTTTGGTTGAATGTGGAATAATATTACTTGAAAACTACAAAAAGAAATACCACTACTGGTAGGAGATATGTGTGTGTGTGTGTGTGTGTGTGTGTGTGTGTGTGTGTGTGTGTGTGTGTATGTTTTTGATAGTGAATACTTTTTATCACTTATCAAGACCATAGCTTCAATATATGTTTGCATATATTTTATTCTGGTGAAGCATAAATTTTCAAGATATTCAACTACACAATGAATTTAATGTTCAAAGATTAAATTTTATCTATAAAATAGTTAAAATTAATTTTGTGAGAAAATGTAGTACTATCTCAATCATAATTTTTCTAGAAATCAGTCTTTAGCAATAACTATAACTTAACACAATCTTATTTCACTTAGTTATAATTTATTATTATTTTGCTGACCTTAAACTGCTTGAGCATGTTGTTACATAAAGCAAAACTGTAGGAAAAAAAAAGATTCTGGTGTTCATTCTAGTCTTATAACAAAACTGTTCTTATTAATGGCTAACCTCAATTTCGGTTTGATTTGACACGAATAACTATTTTAGAAAGTTTGCTGGACATTATACATTAGAGTTGTATGAAGTATGTCTTACTCAGAACTATAGTTTCTATTTACATGTTTAACTAAATTTAAGAGCATAACTGTAAAAAGAGTAGGAGTATGTAGTTTTTCTGGTATAAAGGGGTTAAAAAGTTACAAAAACAGAATGAGTCTACTAACTTGTAGATAAAATATGAGTAGTAAATTAATTAAACAAAGCAATGAGGATGAAAAAATAAAAGGTTCTAAAAGTGAGTACAGTATGTTTAAATTCTTCCATTCTCTTTTGAGTCCTAACTTTCCTCTGCTATGATTAAGGTACCACTGGAAAGGCATGGGAACAGATCCAGTGTTGTCTGGGTTGCAATTTATTTGTGAATAAATCAGACACTGCAGCCTCCAGTGTTTCATAGACTTTCATGTCCCATGAACCTACATTTTTCATTTCTAACTTTTAAGACAATTAAAAAAAAAAAAACCAACCAAAAACAGAGCTCTTAGCTGGCTTGGCCACAAATATTTCTGGTGAGAAAGAAATAAATCATCTATGTTTTGGCCGAAAATTCATACTTATCAACTATAAAACTTTCTCTTTATCTCTTAAACTACTATGTCCAAACTGGCTCTATAGAAGTAAGTTATAGTTAGTCTGCAGCTGCCATTTAATTGTTTTTTGGTAAGTAACTAAGTTGCATGTAGTTCAAGGATTTACTTTATCTCCTGCACTACATCCTAGCACCAACTTTCCCCCACAAATTAAAGTGGGAAAAAAAGATGGTTCTCTTTTGCTACTTTCACTTTCAGAGCAACATTTCTGGCACTGTGCCCTGAATCTTTACAGTAGCAAAGATTCTGTGATTGAAAACTGTTATTTTCCACCTGTGTCTTTTTTTTTTTCCCCTCTCTTCCTGTCCTCACATTCCTTTTGCCTACCCTTTTTGATTCAGTGTAAAGAAGCACATAACCTAGTCATGGTTACAGGTTACAGCAGAGGAACATGTAGATGTCAGTGCCAGTTAATTTCTCACCTCTCTACCCATCAAAGACCTTCAATTTGCAGGGTCCATTTCTCTCTTTTCTAGGCTAGGCTTTTCCTTGCCAGGTGTTGAAGCCTGATAAAATGGCCTTCTTGCAAAGTTGAATGCTAGCTACTACTCTTTGTGTGCATATCTGCCACACAGTGATTTTTATTTTTAAATAAATTGTTACCACTTATTTAATACAGTGCATCAGAATCATCTGTAAGGCACACTGAAGCAGATTGCTAGGTTCCATGCCCAGACTTCCTGATTCAGTAGGTCAGGGGTGGGGTCTGAGAATTTGCATTTCTAACAAGTTCCCAGGTGACACTGATGCTGCTGACCCTGAGATCATTCCTTGAGAAGTACTATTCCAATGGTTCACAAAGCTTGATATCCAGTTGTTCTACTAGAGCTATTCTAGGCAAAAAGAACTTCAGGAATTACTGGGGGAAGGTTTTTTTTTTTTTTTTCTGATTTGGGGTCTCCCTCTGTCACTCAAACTGGAGTGCAGTGGCATGGGTCATGGCTTACTGCAGCCTTGACCTCCTGGTCTCAGGCAATCCTTCTGTCTCAGCCTCCCGAGTAGCTGGGACTACAGGCATTCACCACTATGCTCAGCAAATTTTCTGATTTTTTGTAGAGACAAGGTCTTGCTTTGTTGCCCAGGCTGGTCTTGAACTTTTAGCCTCAAAAGATCTTCCCACTTTAGCCTCCCAAATTTTGGGAGTACAGGTATGAGCCACTGTGCCCAGCCAGAATTAATAGTTCTAAAGACATCTGTAGGAGCATGCCTCAAAGAGTGAATAGGAACAGTCCACTTTAAACATTAAAATACCTAGGCTCAAAGGATTTGTTCTAAAATTATGTCTAAAATAAGGTCACAAAACAGAAATGTCCCCATCACTAATGGCCTTTAAAATTTTTAACTTCTACATAATGTAAATCTTCAAAAAGATGAATTTTAGATGTTAACAAGTCATGTTGCTTCCTCTCTCTCCTCCACCCCTTTTCTGTGACTTACCAGGTACTTTCTGTGTTGCTTTGACACTAAGGCTTCCGTTGAGGTTTGATAGAGATGCTAACAGGCATGGTTTACTAGGATGTGGGACTGTTTCCATGGAGATGACAATCTGAGTAGTTTGGACAGAAATTCTTTGAAAGCAGGAAACAGCTCTCCACATGTTTTCTTGAACTGACATCTTTTGTACTCCATCACTATGAACTTGAGGTTTAGAAAACTTTCCACGGTAACATTTGGAGACTGGAAGCTCATCTTTATTCACTATGGAGTCTGACTGGGCTGACGTCTCTCTGCTATGTGCAAAGCCGTGTGAATTTTTTATCTTCTTCAAAAAATGATTTATCTGATCCAGTTTGGTAAAACTCAGGTTTGCTTTCAAAGGCTTTGATATATCCAAATTGATGTCCGCTATAAAAGTGAAAAAGATTTTTAAAAATTATTGAAGCTCTTTTATTGAATATAAAATTCATTACTTCTCTATCAAGCTCTTACTTAAGTGTCTCCAACTCATTAGAATGCCAGAACTTTATATTTATTTTACTTATCACTTAGCTATTCTTTTTTCACATCATTTCTTGAAGAAACAATCTCTCTGGACTACTTACAAGTCTACATTCCTGGCCAATCCATGTAACTGTCTGTTCCTGATACAGTGAAGCCCACACATGGATATCAAGGCTGTCCCTTTCTACTCCTGCCCTTATCAAGGCAAAACAAAGCAGGCTTTCCAGTTTGTTACTTTTCTGAACCTGGACTTTCTTCCAAAGAAAAAGGACTTCTCTTACTAACCAGAACCATGTTTGACACAAATAATGGTATTAATATATATTTATCCAACTAACTGGCTGAAGTAGCCTCCTCTACCATTTCCTAATCAAGTTATGCCCATATTGTTTCTCCTTGATAGCCTGCTATAAACCAGAAGAGTCCCTGCATCTTTCCCTACATTCTGCATTGATAAAAGTTCAAATACCTTACCCAGTGTTAGGTGAATGGAAATTTCTTAAACCTATGATCCATTTTGTATGTACCATATACCAGATGTTGTCTTCATTTGTCTCTTACTCATCTGACAGGAAAACTAGCCTTATTACTTCTGATTTTACCTTCTTATTTCACCTTATATCACCTTCTTCTTTTCGTTTTTCTTATCATAAGACTACAAGCATCACAAAGGCAGTGCATGTTAGACATCTTTATAATCCAGTGCCTAGCAGAGTGTGTTTTGCATATATACATGTTCAATAACTGAGTTTAACTGAAGCTAACAAGTATTTCATTGGAGCTTGGGGATGTAACAGAAGACATAATCTCAGACAAAGCTAGGCATCACAAGGTTATTAAACATAGTATTATTATTTTAGTCATGAAACATAACTTTTTTTTTGTTTGAGTTAGATTCTCACTCCATTGTCCAGGCTGGAATGCAGTGGCACACTCACAGCCACCCCAGCATCGACCCGCTGGGCTCAGGTGATCCTTCTGCCTCAGCCTTACAAGTAGCTGGAACTACAGGTGTGTGCTATCATACCTGGCTAATTCTTTTATTTATTGTAGAGATGAGGTCTCACCAAGTTGCCCCGGCTGGTCTTGAACCCCTGGGCTCCTCTCACCTCAGCCTCCCAAAGTGCTGGGATTACAGGCTTGAACCACCATGCCCAGCCGAAACATAACTTAATTCTACATCTTTCTTCATAAGGAGTGCCTCTTCTCACTTCCTCAGATGTCAGCACTTTTGGATTCCCTCCTGAATAGCCATGCTCCCTCAGGGTGCTGCTCTCCCTGTCTAGTGTGCCATCCCTCATGCTCGATCATGGTGTTTCCTTAATAGGCCTAGCAAAACTCAGAGTTTGCTTCCAGCTAGTTGTCCACTAAAAATGGTCATCTGAGTCACCCTTACACAATAACAAAACATTCCCAGCTCCCAATATATTTTTAAACATGTAATGTAAAGGAATGTAATGTAAAGGAATTAAAAAAGAAAAAAATTTTATCAACATTTAACTCACATACTACAAAATCTACCTATTAAAACTGTATGAGTCAATGGTTTTTTAGTATACACACAAGGTTGTACAACTATCGACACTAATCCCAAAACATTATCATCACCACACACACACACACACACACACACACACACCATACCACTTAGCAGTCCTTCCTCACTCATGCCCCCAGGCAACCACTAATTTACTTTCTGTCTTTATAGATTTGCCCATTTGTGACACTTCCTATAAATGCAATCATATAATATGGGATCTTTTGTGTCTGGTTTCCTTCGCATAGCATAATACTTTCAAGGTACACCCACGTTGAAACATGTGTCAGTACTTCATTTCTTTTTGTGACTGAATAATACTCTAACATATGGATATACCACATTTTGTATATCCACTATTGGTTAATGGACATTTGGGTTGTTTCCACTTTTTAGTTATAATGAATAAATGCTGTTATGAACATATGTGTGTGGATTTTTGTGTAAATGTGTTTTCAATTTTCTTAAGTATCTACCCAGGAGTAGATCCCGGGATTTGCTGGGATACATTTGCTTGCAGTTATCCTAGTGGTTGTGAATGGTATCCCATCGTGACTTTGATTTGCACTTTCCTAATGAGTAATGATGTAGAGCATTTTTTCACGTGCTTATGCTCATATTTATATATATTCTTGAATAAATGTCTACTCAAACCATTTGCTCATTTTGAAATTGGATTGTTAGTCTTTTTATTATTGAATCAGAGGAGTTTTTTAATATTCTCGATACAAGTCCTTATCAATACATGATTTACAAATATTTTTTCCTATTTTGTGAATTGTCTTTACTTTTTTTTTGCAGCACAGAAAGGTTTAATTTTGTCCAATATGTTTATTATTTTTCTTGTGCTTTTGGTATCATACCAAGACACCATTGTTTAGCCCAAAGTCACAAACATTCACACCTATGTTTTAAGAGTTTCATAGTTTTACCTCTTACATTTAGGGCTATGGTCCTTCTTAAATTAAATTTTGTGTGTATATTGTCTGAGATAGGGGTTCAACTTCATGCTATTGCATGTGTGTAACCAGTTATAATGGCAACATTTGTGGAAAGGCATTATTTTTTACTTGGAGAATTTGGGTACTGAAAGAGGCTAGTGGGAAAAGTGTGTTAGAAAAACTAAATGGTTAAAATGACCTACACATTTACCTGCTCTGCTTCTACATCCCTTTACGTAGCCTTCCAAATTCTGTGGCCTCACAGAATACCCACACTTTACCATAATGAAAAAAAAGAAAATAATCTTAACAGAAGACAAAAACAAGAGAAAAAAAAAATAAAACAAAGTCAGTGGAGAAAGAAGACTCAGGTGTTAGGGTTTGAAGCTGTCTGCTTTGTCCTGGATTTATAACACAGAAAACTTAAACTAAGGGTCAGGGGTGCTCATCCTGTAGCCTTAGAAACAGTAGTAAATTACCAAGGAAGTTGCCCCAAAATCCATCTAAACCAACTGCTGAACCTAAGAGATCCAGTTTTTCCTAACTGTAAACTGGCACAGCATCCACAGAAAGGTAAATATGAGAATTACTGACTACTTCCCTCATATTTCAGGTACCACTGTGGTCTCAGAAAGACACACACACACAAAACCCTGTTTACATCTGGATACTCGCCTAACTTGTCTTTTTTTTTTCTTCCTGAGTCATGGTCTCACACTGTCACCCAGGCAGGAATGCAGTGGCATGATCATGACTCACCACAGTCTTGAACTCAAGCATTCCTCCTTTTTCAGCCTCCCGAGTGGCTGGGACTACAGGCACATGCCACCACTCCTGTTTAACTTTTTTTTTTGTAGATACAAGGTGTTGCTATGTTGCCTAGGCTGGTCTTGAACTCCCTGGTCTCAAGCAATCCTCCTACATCAGCCTCCCAAAGTGCTGAGGTTATAGGTGTGAGCCATAGTGCCTCATCTTTTTTTCTCTCCCCTAATAGACTGGGTCTCACTATGTTGCCCAGGCTGGCCTTGAACTCCTGGGCTTAAGCAATCCTCCCACCAATTGTTGGGACTATAGGTGTGCATCACATGCCCAGCTCTAACTTGTCTTTAGAGTTTCAGCCCTTGAGTCACTCCTGTTGCTGAGTAAGGTGCTTATCATTGTTTTCAGAATAGCTTGTATATTTTGCCACTACCAGGCACCTACATATTATTTCTGTAGACTTGGGTATCTGTCAGTGCAGTGAACTGTGAGCTCCTAGATTATTTGTACCTAAACTATATTCTAAGTACCTAAACTACTGCTGGGTCTACAGGAAGAAGTGTAAATGAATGTTTAATGATGTAATAGAGGAACAAAAGTGAATGAACACAAAAGTCTGTTACCCCTTTTCACCAAGCTCCACAGGTTCATCAAATCAATTCATCCAAAACAACCCATGAGCTCCTCTCAGATATGCTATATTCCCTGTCTCAGTCAATGGTTCTATCATCCACCAAGTGGCTCAAGTCAGAAATCTGAACTTTTTCTTCCAAATCAAGGTCTCACTCTGTTGCCCAGGCTAGAGGGCAATGGCATGATCATGGCTTGACATAGCCTCAACCTCCTGGGTTCAAGAGATCCTCCCAACTCAGCCTCACAGGCAAGCATCACCATGCCCATATATATATATAATCTCACTATGTTACCTAGGATGGTCTCCAACTTCTGGGCTCAAACAACCCTCCCACCTTGGCCTCCCAAAGTGCTGAGATTACAGGTGTGAGCCACTGCGCCTAGCCAGAAATCTGACTTTTTGACTCTTCATTTCATTCCCTCTTTCCTCTAGTCCCAAATTAATAACTGATTAAGTTCTGTCCACTCAACCACTGCTTGAATCCAATCCCCTTCTCTCCAACATTCCATCCACTCCCCATTTTCCTCCATCATGTCTTTGATATTGTGCAGTTATTATAAAGCCTCCTAAATGGCTCCTCTGTCTAGACCAATTCTCTTTAATCAAGTCTACACAAGGTAATTTCCAAATAATTTGCTTTAAATGCAATCATGATTGGTTTACTCCTGCTTAAAACTCTTTATTCGCTCTTCCTTACCTACAAAATAAAAGACCATGCTCCTTAGAATGGAAAAAAAGTTCTTGCCTTTCCCATTCTACAGCTATTCCCGGCCTCCTACTTTAAAGTTCTGGAAATACCAGAGTTTACAGAGCCCACAATCCATGCTATGTCATAACCACTGGCCTTTGCTCATGTTGCTCCCCTTTATCTAAGTTACCCTTTCTTTGCCTAACTTCTTCTTCTTTTTTTTTTTTTGAGTTGGAGTCTCACCCTGTCGCCCATGCTAGAGTGCAGTGGCATACTCATGGCCAACTCAGCATCCACCTGCTGGGCTCTGGTGATCCTTCCACGTCAGCCTTCCAAGTAGCTGGA